TCTTTCCCTCATCCCACAGAAACCCTGATACCAGGGTCTGTCCTGGATAGCTCATGTCCCCCTACTGCTCATATGAGAATGGGCTATTCCAACCCCCTCTGCCCTGAAATGACATCAGGTTTGCATGGAAGGTGCAACAAGTACAGAACATGTTCCTGTAATCAAGTGTGCTAGTCTGAGTGCCAGTCTGGAGCCCTGGGCAATGCACAGGGTCACAGCCCATTACTTAGAATCTACCCCCAAATACCGAGGCCAATAACCACAAGATAAACACATTCATAAACAAGGTATCTAGACTGCTGCTCAACGCCCCTTACCCTCCTAAACAAAACAAAACGTTCAAAAGCCACCCCATCAGCAGACTGCAGAAGGCAGACATGATGACAGGACTCTTGTGTGCCACGTGACATAGCTAGACAGCTGGTGCTAACGGGCAAGCCATTTCTTAGGGCCCTTCTCCCTTCCTCAAGTAGTTTTCCACCAGTTGGTCAAAGCTCTGTGCGGAATATTGCTCGAGTGTATTTAACGGCGCGAGCGAACACCCTTCTGCAAGGCTACGTGTAACTTGTTTGCTGGACACAGGTGACAAGCTGGGCAGGCTGCTACTGTCACCAGCCGCCTCTAGGGGAAGAAATTCCTCTCCCTTTGAGGAGGGTGAACTCTGCTCGCAAGAGGGAGTATCTGCCTTCTGAGCAGGTACAAACTGTAAAGGGGCATAGTATACCCACCTAGATGGGCATGGAATATCATGGTACAAAGGAGTGTCAGGCTCCTTGTTCAACAAAGTCCCCTCAGTCTCAGTGTTCTTGGATAAAGGACTCCCATGTGACTCTACTAAGCCTGATTTCCCTTCTTTGACACTGGTGCCCAGTGGTCTTACCAGCTGTTCTTTGGCAGGTGCTGATGTAGGAGACTGTGCTGAGAGAAGGTGTCCCTGGGCACCGTCACTGCTGCAAGTCTCTTCCGTTTCCTTTCTTTCCGTGCAACACCAAGGGCAGCAAACGCAGTCTCCCTGACAACTTGTAGCAGACCACTCAATTTGCTCAGAATTTTGCTGGTAAGCTTCCATATCCCCAGAGGTCTTCAACTCGTGACTCTGCGCAGCTCCTGAGCTCTTGGACGTGTCAGGGCATTCCTCTAGGGACTCGAAGATGACCCCTAGCGGCCCAGGTTGCCGTGCAGGTACGGTAATTTTGAGCAGCTGCCTAAGCCTTTCCTCTCTCCTGCTATCTGTCAGTGGTGTGACATCCTGCCAAGGCTCTAGGACGCTGGGGACAGGAAACACCTCGCGGTTAGGGTTCAGGTACTTCTCCAAGTAAGCTTGACATGCCTTGCTCTTGACTATCGGGATGACTGAGCAGGGTTTCAGCCACTGGACAAATTCACACAGCTCTGAGAAGGACGAGTGGTCAGAATAGGGAATGATGTGCATATTGGGATGGGTTCTCTTCAGCGGGCGCCCAGTGGGGAGAATGGCAATCGTGGGGCGCTGCTGGTTCCAGTGGCGCACAGACTTCCAGCGGATTTCCGAGGGCTCCACCACATGGATCCAGCCAGAATCTTCCCAAGTGGTGAACGGATGGTGTTTATCCAACAGCTCCAACACAGCCAGCCTCGCGGGGCTCACCACGATCCAGGTGTTAAACGTCAGGGACAACTCAGTTAGGAGTGACTCCTTCCCCAGAGTGTAGATACCTGGCAAAGAACAAACAGAACAGCTTAGCAACTTTTAGAGACTTAGAAGTATTTTGTCAAGGCAAAGACAGCGCCTGGGGAAGGTGACCGGGGCAGGGAGAAAATTGCTGTAAGACTCCAGAGAAAGGTGCCTACCCACAAGGGGAAATTAGAGAGAGACAGCACATAAGACAACACAAGCAACGCCCTGAGGAACTGAAGCGTACTTTGTACGAAGAGGAAGAAAAACAATTGCTCTCTGCGCCCTCCAAAAACCTCAAGATTATTCCACGGCCCCACACCTGCAGCACTTCAGACACCAGAAGTGAAGCAGACTCAAATCTGCACTCTGATTAGCAGAAATACACATCGTTTGCATCATCCAGGCCAATGAATGCACAAGCCAGACACAGCAAAGGGCACAACCCAGCCACCCCTCGCACAATATCATCCGGTCCTGGTCAGGCATTCACCGCAACTCCAATTGGGGCACTGGCTGCAGTTCACACCCTGCCACATGCCAAGCTACTAAGAAGTCTGGCTCACCAATCTTGACTTGGTACTTAGGGTGGGCCTTGATCAGCTCTTTTATTTGTTCGGTGGCCTGCTCCCTGGAAGGCAGGACCAGCGCCGGGTCACAGTTCGTGTTGTCCAAGTAAAGAACGTCAATTTGTTTTTGGTTCATTAGGACTGGTTCCTTCAGCATGGCCGGAGTGTAGCGAAAATCACCTGGCAAGAAGCAAAGCAGCACCAGTTTGCAGGGAAGAAACACAGGATCTGGGGACACCGGGAGCAACAGGGGCCCACCTAGCGGTTACTGCTCCACGTTGCAGGCTCCGAAACTCAGGGGAGGTCCCCAGCTTCCAGGCCACGGAAGCAGTAGGAGCCCGACTGCTTGGGTGCTTTTTTCTAGGACATCACAGAAGTGATGTGGGCTGAACTCCTGGTGAGCGACTCACGTTTCTACAAGGGACAGCAGTGTCAGCCTTAGCAGCCACTGCCAAAGGTGCAGGCCTGGAGCAGGCAGTGAAGGCAGGAAGTGTCATTAAGGGGGTGGGAGGAACGGGACTCGTGGCTGCCAGGTGTGGTGAAAGCTGACCGTGCAGCCAGGTTCACAAAGGGACTGGACACCTTGGAGGAAAGGGGCCTCAGCGGCCATTGAGCAGGTGACTGAGGAGCGCAGCCTCCTCGTCAGACCACACCTGGCCTTTCACAACACGCTGCGTCAAAAGGAGCTTCTCGGGGTTGGCTTTAAACGGATGACCGGCTTGTTTCATGTGACAGCCCCTCCTCGTGGGGAGAGAGTCGATGACCAACCCCTGTGGACTTTCTCGTTGCCATTTTCTGCATCATAAACCTTTCTCCTGCCCCCTCCAGCATCTCTTTCCTGCACTGAGCCTTGACAGTCTCCTCATGAGGAAGGCCCCCGGCCACTCCTCCGCTTGCCGCCCCGCCCCAGTCCTCCCATCTCCCGCGGGGGACACGTGAAGGGGTGCGGCGATACTCCCTGCCGTCTCGCAGGCCCTCGGCGCTGGGTGCGAGGGAGAGGCTGGGGCGCGACCGGGCGGCCCCGAGACCGCAGACCCGGTACCTGTGTACAGCACGACCCCAAAGTCCCCCTCGAAGAGGAACATGACGGAGCCGGGGCAGTGGTGGGCGTCGATGGGCGTCACCGTCATGGTGCGCTGGGCCCGCTCGTCCAGGATCACGACATGGCTCTGCCCCACCTCCAGCGGCCGGATCCAGCACGTGTCCACCTGGGGGGAAGGAGGGAGGGAAGGAAGGCCGGGGCGGTGAGGGCCGGGCCGGG